GATAGACTGCCTGCCCAAACCAAACCCTCAGTCGATGTAGCAGCACTCCCTTGCGAGTCAGGCTATTTGTCAGTCGATGTAACAGCACTCCCTTGCGAGTCAGGCTATTTGTCAGTCGATGTAGCAGCACTCCCTTGCGAGTCAGGCTATTTGTCAGTCGATGTAGCAGCACTCCGTTGCGAGTCAGGCTATAAGATAGTCGATATAGCAACATTTACGCATGTTTTAAAAATGTTTTTAATAAAACAAAAACAAAAACACTACTAATTAAAAAAAACTTTCTAGTTGTTATTATTGCGGTTTTTTAAAAAATTTTTAAAAAACAATAAAATTTAATGTACTTACGCATTAATTTAATTGCTTTGACATTTCGACGACAATCAAATACAGCTTAAGAGACGAGGTAATTAATATTGTAGTCGAAAGAGACTTTTTTTACATTAAAAGACTCTTTCGACTACACTATAAGGATATATATATATATATATATATATATATATATATATATATATATATATATATATATATATATATATATATATAGCTTATGTTAAAATAATACAAGGCTGCAAGCAACCATTACTAAGTTGAGAGTTACTAGAGAAAAAAAAAAATATAAAGCATGAAAAAGGATGACAGAAGACTTGAAAGCTTAAGGAGAAAACTAGCATGCCAAACTTTGTCAAAAGCTTTAGATATGTTAAAAGTAATAGCTCTAGTCTTTCTGCCTCCATTTGATGCACAATAAAATATTTTAGTCACAGTAGTTAGCAATTCAATAGCTGAATTGCTAACTACTATTGCTAGCTTTGTCAAGATAAAATCTATCAGTCACAGCAGTTAACTAATCAGCAATATAGCAAGAGGATCAAAAACTGCATTGATTGTTTGACAGTAAGTTATTTAACTCAAGATGGGATGCAAGAAATTTGTTGATCAAAGACTCAAAAATCTTGCTAATAAAAGAAAGAAGACTGATCAGACAATAATTGGAGGGGTAAGAATGTTCATCTGAGCTTTTTAAAATTGGAACATTTTCCAGTAGGCAAGACTCAGAAAACAAAAAAATAAGACTCAGTCAAGAATTTATTAAACAATGTAAGACTATGACAGACATGTTGTCTGGACCACAAACCATAAAAAAAGATCAATTGAGATGTGACTTTAGCAACAGAAGCTGGAGTGATTTGAATGTCTAACAATGGGTTAACCTGTTTAATTGGAATAAAAGGAAGAGAATGGCAATAAGATTCGAGAGTCAAATAAGAACAAAAGTTCTTTGCAAAGTTCTACTTTATCCTTGGGAGAGGTAATAAGATCAGACTCATGAATGAGAGATGGAATATTAGACCTACCTTTGCTAACAAAGCTGTTGAAGATTTTCCAACTGTCTCTGAGCCTAACTTCTGAGATAAGATACGAGATTTAGCAAACTGAGAATAATGGAGCTTAGCATCAGACAGCACCTTTTTACATTGATTTCTTGCAATAATAAATAGCGATTTGTTCTCAGAGAGTTATTCTTGTAAAAAAGATAAAAATGATTATGGTTAGATATAGCAGCTGTACAAGAAGGTGAAAACCATGGAGTAGAATGAGGGTTGACTTTGAACCAACAAGAAGGAATGAAAGCACACATTCCTGCTTGAATCCAGGAGGTCACATAGGAGGCACATTTATTAGTTGAGGGAGAAAATATATTTTTTTTTTACATCTTCACTTCTAACTAGGCTGCAAGCAACCACTATTAGAGTTAAAAGTTACTGGAAGAGAAAAGATGAAATTTATAGAGCAAGATAACGATTAACAGCCAAGATTAAAGAAGCAAATTCTAAAGGAATGATGTTTGAGGGAAAAAACTAGACGAATAAGAATTTTTGGAGCACTTAAGAACAGTCACATTAAAAGGATGAGACTTATTTGAATGACAATTAACACGAGAATGAATGAACACTACATCCACCATGTTTCATAGTCAATAATACATACTGTTTTATCACACATTCAACGATTTCTTTCAAGACAAACAATCTTCTCTTGAAACCAAAGATTTAAAAAGATTTAGACACATCGGTTCAATGTTTACAATCATTGATGGTACATTTTGTACCATCAATGTACAAAACTACATTTTGCCTATTTTAGCATTTTTTTAATTTTTTAGATTTTTATCAAAGCGTTTTAATCAAACTACTTTTATGCTTTTTAAATTAACTTATAATAAAAAAAAAAACCAGCAAAAAAGAAAACAGCAAAAAAAATGAAAAAAGTTAAATTGAAGGATTTTTAAAAATAGTTAATGTCATTCAAATAATTATAAACGGTAGTATATGTATGATTTGTATTAGAAGGTGTACCAAAAATACCAAAATTCAAGTTTTTAAAAATTCTAAACAATTTTTTTAGTATTGTGTTGTTTTTATGCACTTTTTCTTAAAAATTTATAAAAGAAAAACAAATTACAAATTATATCATGCAAATCAACTCGTTTCTCCGCGCAGCGGCCTTGTTCGTCAAGGTTAGTGTTTCGGAGTTATAGAGTTGAGAGAGGGTTATAGCCACAAAATAAGTAGCCTCCTCGTCTGTAGTGGCCTTCTCGGCCTTGAGGAGGTGAAGTAAAATAAAAAAAAATAAAAAAAAAATATCAGTGTTTGTTCAATAAGACCTGGCACTGATTGGCACAGGTTTTGTTTAGATTTTTTATTTGTTGCACAACTTGCACAACATTGTATGTCATTTCTTTAATTGGCAAGTGTTTTGACAACATTTTTGGTGAACCTGGAAGCTGTCCAGATTTTCTGATTGTTTCAATGCTGTCATTTCCAAGTCTACTTCAAATTTCAAGAGTATTACAAATTCTATTAAGTAAATTGTTTTTAAAAAGTTATTATTAGCATGTTTTTATGTCAAACTTTAAATTGGTAAATTGAAAGCACAAGTCAAGTTTTATCAGCTTTAATGACCCAGAGCATTATCTTAGGGATCACCCATCAATTATGCAATGATAAATTCATTTAAAAATTAGAACTAGGAAATCATTTGCTCTTATACATGATGATTTTCACTTGAACTTGAACTGCTACTTTTATTTTTGGTTTAATTAAAGACTCTGCATGGGAAAACTTTTGACCTTTTTTGTTTTTTCTATTATTTAAAATTTGTGTTGCATAATTTATGGACAACTCCTTTTTTTTTTTCATTATTTTATGCTCACCCAACAGCTAACCTAACTGCTGATATAACAGTGTCTGAAGTTTTGTTCACCTCTCTCTATCTTATTGTAAACAAAATAGAAATGAGGTCATCATATATACAATTGCTAAGTATTCCTTTGGTAAAGATATTTGCATCAAATTGTTAAATAAAAAATTTAAGTTATCTTTTTAAAAAATTAATTAAACCATTAATGTATTAAAGCTTTAGCCATATTTATTTTAATAAATGTAATTAATAAACTAAAAAAATAAAAAAAAAAAAACTTATTTTATCCAAAATAAATCGTTATTTGTTTTAGATTAAACAACTTTGCTTCTGTTATACAAAGAAAAAAAATGCTAGAAGCTCATCAAATAAACGTTTCCGCTGCACAAAACAAACTTCATTGTATGAAGTTTGTTTTAATTTTAAAATTTAAACAAAGTTGTTTAAATTTTAAAATTAAAGAATTATAGAATGGAAACGTTCTATAATTCTTTAATTTTAAAAGTTCGTTACCCTTTAATTATAAAAGAAAAAATTGATATTCGCATGCCAAAACAGTATAGAAATTTTTTCTTTAAACCTCAACTTAAAAACAATGCTGCCATAAAAAATAAATAATTGCCTAACATTAATCAATTTAATTAGACAAATATGACAACAGAATTCCATAAAAAGGTGAATAAAAATTATAGAGTTAGAGAATGAAACCATAAGTAGGAAAATTAAAGAGATATAATTAGAGAGAACGAAATAATAAAATAGTAGAGAACAGAATCCTAAGTAAAAAAATAGTAAGCACAATAAATAGAAGCAAACTTTGCAGATGTTGACTTTGCAACCGATTTAATATATGGTTTCCATGAGAGGTCAGTGGCAAAGGATAATCCAAAAAGAAATTTAACTGATTTTAAAGCCAAACAACTGAACTTAAAATTCTCCAACCACTGCATATCTTAAGCTGTCACAGAAGAGAGATCAACTTGAAGAACTTGTCACAGAACTTGAGATCAACACCCTGTTTTAAATGATCAAAAAGTTTTTTGTTTAAAAAAAGTGTCATCAGCAAATATAGCAATTTAAAAGGTGATTAGAAAGAATAAAATAAATGCAAAAAGACACAGGATCAAAGATAGAAACTTCTGCTACACAAAAAGTAACTGGATATAAAGTGTTTTCCTGGAAAGGAAAGTGTTGCCTATCAATAACAACTTCAATATTGGTATTAGTAAAAAATGATTTAATAAACTAAAAACTCTCCCAAACATACCATATATCATACAATCAGATATTATATATAATACAATCAGATATATCATGCAATGTGAGTTAATAAAGAAGACCAGTGAGTTTCACTTCAAAATGTCATACAAAAATCTATTCTCTATATAATTTATAAACTAATGTTATAACGATAATGTAATAATAAAATTAAACTGAAAACTACTTCCAACTACTTCTTTATCATAAAAACTGATCAATAACGCAGATCAAAAAAATTTTTTTTCTGATGCAGACCATACAATACATTTTTCAGAGAGCATTTCTCATTTTGATTTCAAATATGCAACTCATTTTTCACTATCATGTAAAGTTGTAAAATTGTAGTTGATAAAATTGTAAAACGATATTTGAGTTCAAATCTTTAGCATTTGTGATAAAATCCCTAATATTGTCCAAAAAAAGTTATTTAAAAGTATGTCAACCCGGGTTAGGATAAAATCAATTATTATTTATTAAGAAAAATATTATATATTAAGAAAAGATTAAATAACAAAATTAAAAATGAAATAAAAAAATACATGATGCGATAAATCTGCGTCCATAATAATAATAAAGTCTCCTGTTGCAAATTGCATCCCATGAATATAAGCAGTACCTAAATTTTATAAAAGAATTTTTAACTTTTTTAAAAGTTTTGCAAATATTTAAAAAAAAAAATTTAATGACTTACCTAAGCCTAATTTTTTTGCTCTTGGCTTTAAAAGCTAAAAAAGAAAAAAAGAAAAAAAAAAAAAAAAAATATATATATATATATATATATATATATATATATATATATATATATATATATATATACACATTTCCAAATTTGTATAATCAGCATCTTTTTTGCAGGTGCTGCATCATCAACAATAAACACAATATAATCATAAATAAAAAGTCTGTATGAACCGCATGTTCTCCCTTACAGTCAGTCAATATAGTTAACTCCGCTGCATGCTCTCCCTAATGGTCAGTCGAAGTATATATATATATATATATATATATATATATATATATATATATATATATATATATATATATATATATATATATATATATATATATATATATATATATATATATATATATATATATATATATATATATATATATATATATATATATATATATATATATATATATATATATATATATATATATATATATCACAGCTGTTTCATTCAATATAAAAACGAGCTTGATGTCACAGTTTTTTTTGTGTTTATCAAAAAAAAAAAGTATTTCCGCAAAAAAAGTTTAAAAATACAATAACTTTAAAATAATAGTGTTTTTTTCCTATAAGCGCTTTCATCTTCAAATAAAACAAATGTAGAGCAAATAGAGAAATTAAAATCGCAGTTATTAAAGTTGGATACTGAAATTTGTAATTTAAATTCTAAAAATAAGGCTCTTAGCACACATTGTAACTCATTATGTTCTCAAGTAGAGACTATGAGTATTAGGCTAAAACAGGAGGAGCAGTTCCAACTTGTTTTGAAAAAAAAAAATTAAAACAGCACAGCGCAAATTTGCATCTGCTCGTGCCAAAAATGTCAGTTTGCTAAAAAAAATTAAATTTGAAAAAAATAATGCAAAAATTAGTGATATAAACCAGAATGGTTGCCAAAATTGCAAATGTCTTGTAAGCAGCGATAAGGATTTAGTTGTTGTTGATTCTTATTTAGACTATGACAATATTGGTTCCTATGAATTGTTCCGTGGATTTAAATTAGGTAATCCACAGACTATATCAATTAAAAGGCCAATAGTTGGTAAAAAATACACTTACATTAAGTTAGGATATGGTAAACCTTATTCTAAGTTAGGTAGGCATACTGCAGCTAGACGATCTAGACTTGCTTTTATATTCCTTCGATTATTAGTTTGTTCAGATTTTGAAAATGATTTGTCTACGTTGTTTTGTGATTCTATGTCTTGTGAAAAGTCAATATATTGTTATGTTGCAAATAAGTTAGGTTTAGTTAGGCAATTAAGTGTTTCTGATACTGTAGGGCTGCAGAGCCAATTAAGGATGCCCATGGCTAAATTCCGTAGGCTAAGACGTATTTTGTGTAATCTTGGTGCAAGGATTCTCGCCTCTGAGCCCAAGATTAGACAAGAACAAGAAATGCAGATAATGCATGTCAATAAAGAACATATCACTGTGAAGTCCATGTTACTTTATCCATCTGTGAATGAAGCACCTTGTTTAGTATCTGTACTGATGGTCAAGAATTTGACAACTTATATTGAAGAGGTTTTTAATAGTCTTCACGTACGTGACCACCTTAGTTCAGATGTTGGTTTTGGCAAAGTATATGAAATTCCATTTTGAAGTTGTCAATTTGAAATCGTCAGGGTCTGTATATGATGTTCATTTGTTTTGTATGTATCAGGGTTCAGACTGTTGTGAGAATATTGCCTTAATTGGCATTATGCCAACGACATTAAAAGAATTCAGTCGCCAGATTTTAAGTTAAAAGGCAAAATAGTCAGGTTGTTCTTAGGTGGAGATTTTAATTTCATTGATGATGTTCTGGGACACCAGGGTTCAGCTGCTAGCTTTCCTAGTTCTACAGATCTAGTTGAATTAAAATCTCTTAGAAGCCATGCTTCTATGCCTCACACACCTGCTAATTGTAACATCTTAAGGAGGACAATGCAATCTCTGGAAAGTGCTTACAATGAGAACTTGTGTGAAAATAGGCAAGGTGGAAACTTAAGAGCTCTAGGTAAGTTTCATAAATCAATTATTGCTCCTGTGATATTCCCCATAATAACTTTAAATAATGTAGTTCCACTTGTTTTACATATTATGTTTGGAGTTGTGTTAAAACTGTATAAGTTATTGTCGAAGGAGTGTAAGACTTTAGATTGTCAAGCTGATTTGTCTTTGTCGCATAATGAGCTAAAAGCGTTGAATGTTCTAAAACAGCAGAAACTTTGTGTTTATTAGGAAATCAATTTGTAGACATAGCAAATCTAAAGGCGCGATGGTTGGCTTTTAATAACAACTTTTCCAAATTAGAAAAAATATCCCTTAACTCCTCCAATAAAAAAAAAACTGTAAACAGCAAGAAATGTGTGCTAGTATCAGGTGTTTAATAACTAAATATAATTGTAACATTGATTGGGTGCAGTGTGTTACGTGCCAAAAATGGTTTCATCAATATTGTGAAATTATTGGTGATTCAGAAAAGAGTGTATTGTGTGACATATAGATGTACAAGTGTTTAGTGTGTCAGGGTGAAGATATAGAATGTCTTGACCTTTATATTTCTGAAAAAATTTCTTTTATACACGCACGACGCGAAGTTTTAGACTTTGAATATATTAAATTGCAGATGGAGTGTGAAGACCTAGAAAAAATATCCAAAAGTAGCATGGGGACTCATGAGAGGTCTCTTAATAAGGCCCTTGAAGATATGAAGGTTGAGCGACAAGCGTACCATGGTAATTGTTTGTGGGTAATCATTGCAAAATAGTCTTAAGAAACCACTATAAACTTTGTAGTGTTATTGATGATGAAGCTATTAAAAATAGATTTGTACGTGTGTTTAGTGTTTTTAATAAGTTGCAACCTATTCTTTTTAGGCAAAAATTTCTTTCTGATGCTGAAATTTCTGAACTTCATCAATATATAAATTTATTTGCTATCGAGTTTCATGCTTGCTTTCCAATCACGCAAAAAATGCATGAACTCATTTTTAATGTGCCACTTTTTGTAAAATTGCATAAAACTATTGGGTTGCTGAGTGAAGAGGAGGGAGAGTGTTTGCATAATAGTGTAAATAAGGAATTAAGACAGTTGCATTCAGTAAGAAATCAGGAACAGAAGCTGCGTCTTGTTTTAAAACGCTTTGAATTGCACAGCAAAGCTGATAGGAAGCTTCAAGCCTCTAAGGTGAGAAAGTGTGTTGTGTGTTCTGAGCGTGGTGAAAATTTGTTTTATAGACTAGGCCTTTGTCTTGTTTGTGGTCATAAAATTTAGTCTAAATAATTAAAAAATAAAGTCTTTAAAATATTTATTATTATTAATTTTATATATTAGATAGGTGCCCCTTTCATTCTTATCTTCACAAGTTAATTATACTTATGCAATACCATCCAGGTTAAAGAATGGTACATAAGTCTTGCATCAAATGGGTGTAAAAATATAGCTTACTACTTTAACTTATGAGCAGAGCAACTGATAAGTTTGTTGGCTATGATATAAAATATTAGTTTGTGTAGTTAATTTTAAAAATGTATTGTCTTTTATTATATGTAACATTTAATTTAAATATTAGATGCCCTTTCAATTATTATCATCAAAAGTTAGTTCTACCTCTGCAGTACCTCTCCTCAACATACCTTCTCTCTGGTTAAAGAATAGAATCTAAGTCTCATAAATAACAAGTTAGTGTAAAGATTACAGTTTAAATAAAGAATTTGTAAAAGTTATTGTCACTATTGTGAGTCTGTTGAAAGCTATCTTCTAATCTTGTTGAACAAAAACTAGCTTCTAAAAACTAATCTTCTGGTTTAGAATGGAGCATGAATCTAATATCAACTGGGTGTTCAAAGATCGTTTTCTACTTAAATGACAGAATCAGTAGATCAACTTATTATAAAACAGTTTTATATGAGAATAAAAACACATCAAACAAATAAAATTAGCTATTTGTTTATTTAAACAAATGTTTTATTTTTTGTGAGAAGAGATTGACTCAAGTGCCATAAAATAATTCTATTACCAAAAGCGAGGTTAATTTAAAAACTTTAACACAGTTGTGGTCATGAATTATTTTATTAGTCTTAGTGAGTCTTAATTTTTTAACAACTTAACACCATATTATTAAAACTCTATGCATAGAAAGAAAGAAATTGCTAAAGTTTTTTAAAGGCTTTAGCTTAGAATGTTAAGACTAAATATTTCAAAATCAACATCTGGCTTTATTTTGTAATGCATTGAATTTATCAACTTAGTGAATTTTTTTTATATTTAAAAACGTACTCATTTAACAGATAATCCCTCTTTAAACAACATTTTTAATAATTTTGCAAAAAATGCGGTTTGCTTGCAAAATTCAATTGTAACTGTTTTTGTTAACCTTAAGCAATTAAGTAAGGTTTTTTTATTTTAATAATAGTCAAACAACGAGTGTAATTGATAATAACTATCATAAATATATTTTTCTGATTTTTTTTTTGATAAAAAGTAACAAGAAATTACTAAAATTTAGCCAAGTTCATCATTTGTCGCATTTTTTATAAACTAAAAGATGTTTTTTTACTATTGTATTAAATATCGTATGATAAAACATTTTATTTTTGTTTTTATTCTTTTTACAAAACAAAATTATCTCAAATATTTCAAAAGTTATAAATGTTTTAGTAACACCCCCAAAGTAAATATTTTCCAAAAAAAAACAAGAAGCTGTAAAGCTCACTCTGAAACAGCCGTATTATGTGATATATATATATATATATATATATATATATATATATATATATATATATATATATGCATATATATATTCATATATATATTCATATATATATATATATATATATATATATATATATATATATATATATATATATATATATACATATATATATATATATATATATATATATATATATATATATATATTAGAGATGTGCCGGAACCAGTTTATGCCGAGTCTCCGATTCCGGGTGCCCGGCTGAAAAAACCGGGTCCGAGTCCGGGTTCTCG